TCTCGTTACATACGTGTATATATATATATATATATACATACGACACGTAATACAAATACAGAGTACAGACAAGTGCAAGTTTTGCGGCATCACATCACACGTGACGTTGAATGGATGACAATGTGTGGATATACAGATTTGGTATATATATATATAGGCCTTTTGTTTGAGATGATTGACTTGGATAATGCACTCACCATTTTACAATCATTTATTTTGCTGATAGAGCGGAGAAAGATGTTGACGATCACGTTTGTCGGGCCATCTAATACTTTGACCGGAACAGAACAAAACAAATCGATTAATTAAAAATCAGTTAGTTACTCGTGCTCCCCGAGATTTGCAATTCTTTTTTACTTTTTGACAGTCTGTGTCCGTTCGCAATTTTCTTTTTCGCTTTTGCCGAGGTTTCGCGCTTAGAAAACGTGAGCTTGCGGGATGTTCAGCGGTCGGGAGGAATCGTCTTTCGGAAAAGAATCCGCTCGCGTTGAAAATCGGGTTTAAACACGGATCATCTCTCCGCGATGCTCTGCTAATATGCTCGAACGTCTGTCCTCCTCCTCCTCCTCCTCCTCCTCTGGAAGTAAATCGTGCGGCAGGACAGACGGATGACTGTATGAAATGACGTGGATGCACGATTTGTACGCGCGGGTAATGTTCCGCGATGAAAATGTTGAAACGACGTGGATTGAATTGCAAAGTGCATTGAGAGCGATCGGATATTTTATGCGACGATCCCGAGCCATTTTATGGCAACCGAGTCACGCAACGAATACTAAACCACTATTTTTTCTTCTCTTTTTACAAACGCTTCATGTTTTCCTAAACTTTTTTTCTTCTCCGTTAGTTTTGACTGACACGAGTGACAGTCGGATTCCTGTCAGTCGTATGAAACCTAAGGGAAAACTCATTGCATCCAGTCAGAGAGTGATTGATGACCATTTGTAATGAAAAAATTTTTTAAGAAATCTGTACTAAGGAAGAAAATTTGGGAAACGTAGTAGAATGTGTTAATCAATTGAATTGTCACAGATTCTGTATTATTTCTCAAATTAGAGTTACAATGGCAACTATCAATAGAGAAAAACGGTGTCACCTTATCTGTTAACTAATAGAAATTATTCTTTTCTGCTTCGCGAAACCTGTCTTCCAGTCAGTGGCTAATTGAACACATACATACATACATACCTTGCCTTAAAAGGGATAAATAAATTCAAGTCGAATTAAACGAAAAGATTTCGTAACGACGTAGAACTAAATCTCAGAACAGGAACTCGTGAAACGTGAGATGAGAATGATTAGTTTTCAAGCTTCCAGGCGGTGACAGCGAACGATCTTTTGCCTCTGTTACATATTGGAGTGGAATCGTTTAGAGATCGCACTTTGCCCCAAACCAACAAGTTTACTAAAAAACGTAACTATAAAAAACGTAGAACGGAAAAGCAGAACATCTTCGAGCCGATGTATAAAATATTAGTTTGTAGTTTTTAATAGTTGAAAATGTAATGAAAATTCAAGGTAAGTATTCTGGTTTAAAATTATCCAAGTCGAGGTTTGCTCGAACCTTTCGTTCGTGACTGCGGCTCGTTTACGGCGACGCGAGATCATTGTCGCGACTTTCTCATAATCGCGACCATCGTTACTGTACTTTTCATTTATGCAGACGTCATCTCGCAGAAGTCGAGGTTCGTCGACTATGATCGTTATTCCAAGTTTGTACCAATTATTAGGACTGATGAAAATGAATTTGATTGGTTTTAAACGATTGAAAATTGTACGCACACCTGTACAACATGCTGTGCATGCCCCGTCGTCGTTTAATCCCTTACTGCACCACGTTTCTTTTTTCATTTCGTTCACCAAGCTCGAACTCGGATCGCGTTTCGACAATTGCTCCAGTAATCGACCAAGACATGCAATCCTTGCTGCTACGATGAAATTATTTAGTGGCAGTTTGAGTAGTTTTGCATTCAACATTTAATAAATTCGTCGAAAAGAGTGCAGAGAGAGAAATATATAAGATAAATGTCGTTTGCTCTACGATTCTATGACATTGACGAAGACGAAAGGTAACTACGAGTTGGTGAAATAGAATAAAAAAAGGTCCAACTGCGATTAGAAAGTGGTGATAAAAAAATAAATGTGGAAGGAACGCAAAATAAATAAACTAATTGTATTCTACAGAGACTTGATCGATGCATGCGTGAAATAAACGGACTCACCATTTGACACACGGTTTTCCGCAGTTTGAAGGAAAAAGTGTTCGGCTCTACTGCTATAGCACGCAGAAGACGAAATTCAGAGCAAAAACTATCAAGTATCTGTCGAAATAATTACAGTTATTGTAAAGAAAGTAAAAAGCATCGTCCAATCTAATAATTATAATCATTGGTGGTAGCTGCAAGTTGAGAAATGAAAATAGCGACGTAAGCCAGCTCGTAGATACTTGGTCACATGTCAGTAAAAATGCCTGCCTGCCTGAATGGATGTACTGAGATAATCCTCGTTCGAACCCCATTTTTTCATTTAACACCGTCGAGGGTAAAACGTTTCCCTTCGAGAGATCAACGAATTGTTGCAAATCGAAGACGAGAAATAGGCTTTTCTGTTACAAACAGATTTGAGAATAGAAGAAGCAGAGGTAACGTGCCATCAATTACGTCGTTTCATCGGCTCTGATAAAAATAACTGCACCCATACGTGCGTGTAACAATTGAAAAGTCGTAGACTCCCGCGAGACTCGCATGCTATAATGCTCGATCCGAACGATTATGCAATAAGGGATTAAAAGAGTCAAGTTTCAGCGACCGTTACTGTATACATATAATATATATATATATAATGATCATGTGTCGGTGTGTGGGTGTGATAACAAACGATGGCAAGTAGTACGAGTAAAAAACGCAGAAAGATTCCAACAAGAAAGAAATTCCAACAGAGTAGTGTTCATATCGCACCGCCAATCTTGTGCTTGACACGTGGCAAAAGATATATACATATTTAAAAAAAGAACGTCAAGTTCCATTAAATCCATGAAATCATCTACTACACAATAGCGTGAGCGACAGTATGTGGTGTAATTAATTAATTGCACGCAGCACGACGCACAAGTTTTAATACACAAGAGTAATAGCGATATCTGATGAGCCTTGTACTGCTTCGAATTTATCTTGGTTCCCATCAAGTCGTGCTGTTGGCAAAAGTCAAGTTTCTCTTGGGCATACAAAACATATGCTTGCTTAATACATATAACATACGAGATACAGTATATATATATATATATATAGAGTGGCATTAAAAAAGTTTATGATAGTGGGCCTTAAATACGCAACACGAGAGAGCTTGGTACAAAAGGGAGAAACAACACAAAGAGGTGAAAAGAAAACGTGTAACGTGTATACATATATGTGTTTGCTTTCCCTCTCTTTTGCTCGTCAACCAGTGAGATAATGATTAATAATATATTCGTTAAACAGACACAGTATTTGCGGTTCAGCGGTGAGACAGAATATGCGTGTATACGTAGTACATCGATGAACGTGTATGCGTGAAACGTATAAATTCATTGTGATTCGTCGCGCGTGTCTAGCTACTGTTTTCTGGCTGACTACTGAACTCGAATTCCGGCAAGCTAATGGACGACTAATTAGCATTCGGAATGCTCTCACTCTCTTCAGAGAGAATTGTCGTTTGAAACTGTGGTAAGATCGGTGTCAGACCATACTATGGTATTAAGTGCTGAAAGGGTCTCTCGAAAATTTGTCTACGCTCTCGGTGATGAACTATGCTCGCAGAAAGAACTTTTCTCAGGCTATTCGTTACCGTTATCAAGATCAAGAGGCGGAGAACACGTGAAACACGGAGCAAACTTTTCTCTTTTCGTTTATCTCTGTTTTTCCCGGTTTTCTTCTTCGGGTAGGTACGTGTACAGAACGGTCCGTGAAAAGGAAACATTTAACATAAATTCGTTCTCAGAAGTTCGGTCAAGTCTACTTGTAGTCGGAAATCGTGCGAATGTTTTGGAAAACGGCGGACAATTAATCAGATCCATGGTACACCCTGGATGTTCTATCTAAACGGAGATCATTGCTCTATGTTAATATATATATATAACGTGTACATATCGATCCCTCTGTATTCGTCATACATACAGAACATGTAATACGTACAATCACGAAAACACTTAATATATATATAGTAGTAAATATGTGTAGGCGTGTGTTTGTGATTTTTCGGGGCATTTGATTTAGTTTTTTTTTTAACTTACCATAGTAACGTCATCTATTTTTGAGATACTTCGAACAAATATGTTGACGCGGACAACCGCGGGCCCATCTAACATAGCAAACAGAATAAATAAAATTAATCAGTCGTTGAGTAATATGAAACGCATCGGGGGTGTAATCAAAAAGAACTAAACGCTTCTCGTGTTTTACGGTCTTGTTTTTTTTTTTTTTTTCGTTAATCAGTGAGAGCTAGTTTCTCAGACGCTATTCATTCCTGCAAATGAATTCTAGTTTCCTCCGCGTCCGTTCGAGTTGGACGCTAAAATGGGATCGCAGAAATGCGTACGGTACACAATAGCGGTGATTCATCGTCTGTTCTTTGGACGTCTTAGCTGGAAATCATAAAATAGAAAGGCCGGTCGACGAGAAACAAGGTAATATCCGAGCGCAAAGAAAAAGATTGAAAATAAATATAAAGTCCGGTTCTGGTTGCTGGTGGAGCAGCCACGCCGCTCCGCTGGGGCTCCGGCGCAAGAAGAAAATGGAAAATTCATGAACTGAGAATTATAGGAACTGAATTGATCAAAGATAGATATTTTCTCGAGTCTGTCGATCTGGACTTAGAGTGCCGGTATATATCGCCCTCGATACTTTTATTAGAAATCTCTGTGTACGCAGCATCGGGTCGAAACAAATATAACGTGACGTAGAATCGTGAGAGCAGAAAGGATAAATAACGAGTACGATGTGTTGACACACGTAATTATGATTCTATCGGAAAATAGAAGCTCTCTTTCTGATTATTACATTTTCTTCGAACGAGAACTTGGTCGTGGGCGGAGGTACGATAAATGAAACTGATCATAAAGCGAACTAACGATCACACAAATTTACCAAAGCGTCATGAAACAAGGGATGAACAAAATGACGCGAGAAGAGAAAAGAATTCGAAAAGTCGTTACGTATCGCGATTCTTATTCGTGAAACAACTGAAACGGGATAATTATAAATGTCGTATATATTGAACAAGCATACGTGTAATATG